CCAGTCAAATAATATCCATTCGGAGTTAACTGAGTCAACGGTAAGGTAATTTTGCAGAAATCTTTGACAAATCTTCTGTAATATCCAGTCAAACCCAAAAAGCTTCGGACTTCTGTCACATTTGTTGGTGTAGGCCAGTTTACTACAGCTTCAATTTTCTGTGGATCAATAGAAATTCCATCTTTGCTAACAACATGCCCCAAAAACATAATATGATCAAGCCAAAATTCGCATTTAGACAGTTTAGCATAAAGTTTCTATTCTCTTAGGGTCTGTAGGGCAAGTCTCAGATGATGTTCATGTTCTTCTATACTTTTGGAGTAAATCAGTATGTCATCAATGAATACAACAATAAAGTCATCAAGGTATGGTTTAAAAATTCTGTTCATGAGGTCCATAAATGCAGCAGGTGCATTGGTAACTCCGAAAGGCATAACTAAAAATTCGTAATGTTCATACCTCGTTCGAAAAGCAGTTTTGTCAATGTCTTCTGGTTTAACTTTCAACTGATGGTATCCTGATCTGAGGTCGATCTTAGAGAACACTTGAGCACCCTGTAACTGATCAAATAAGTCATCAATACGTGGCAATGGGTATTTATTTTTCACAGTTACCTTGTTCAGTTCACGATAGTGAATACACAGTCTCAATAAGCCGTCTTTCTTTTTCACAAACAAGACAGGTGCGCCCCACGGTGAAGTACTGGGCTTGATGAACTTCTTATCTAGCAACTCTTGCAATTGAACTTTCAATTCTTTCAATTCAGTTGGAGCCATTTGGTAAGGAGCTTTAGATACTGGCTGTGTTTCCGGAATCATATCAACGGTAAATTCAATCTCCCTGTCAATCAAATCCCCTGGCAGATTATCTGGAAAAACATCTGGGAATTCTCTGACTATAGGAATACTGTTCATGTTAGCATTATCATCAGTAGATACAGTCAATACAGAACACAGATATCCTTTACACCCATTTCTAATTAATTTAACAGCTTTCACAGATGAAATCAAATACGGAAGAGGTACTACTCCAACCCCATTAAACACAAATTCGGGTGAACCAGGCGGACGAAAAACTACTTGTTTCATTACACAGTCTATAGTAGCATGGTATTTCGTTAACCAGTCCATTCCCAATATTACATCAAAATGATCAATGTTCAGTGGCAGTAAATCAATATACAGATGTGCATCTCCAACAATAATTTCACAAGCAGGGTACATTTATGCACAAGTCATGGATCCCCCAACGGGTGATGATACAGCTAACAAATAATTCATGGGTTCTAATGGTCTATTAAGTTTTCGCGAAAAAGCATGCGACACATATGAATGCGTAGACCCCGAATCAATCAGTACATAAGCATTTTGAGTACAAATAGAGAGAATACCTGACACAACGGTCTCGGTATTCTGCACATCTCCCGGTACTAGGGCGAACACTCAGCTCTGCCTCATGGGTTCTTTCCCGGTAGCTTTGGGGTTCGGTTTTGGTGTAACAGTTGATGCTGCCACGCTTGGTGCAGCTTTACTATTGGCTTGTGGAGCAGAGGGGCAGTCTTTAACCATGTGGCCCATCTTGCCACACCTGTAACAGGCTCCAGATATTTTGTAACAGACCCTTTTGTGCTTCTTGCCACACTCAAAACAAGGTGGTATGAAACCACTCCCTTGGCTGGGGCTAGTTGTTGACCCCGTATTCTGTTTCTTGTTTAATGGGTTATGCTTGCCTTTCTTGAATTTGAAACCCTGCCTTTTACCACGCCATTCAGACGCTGGTGTTTCAGTTTTCAGTGCCTTGATGTTCGATTCAGCCATCAAAGCTCGGTCAAGAACATTTACATAATTCGGTAATTTCATAACATTAATTCTGTCCAGTATTACAACATTAAGGCCGCCTTCAAACTTTCTGGTCTTCTTATAATTAGTGTCCACCATGTGCGGTACATAACGGGCAAGTTCAGTGAACTTTGTTTTATATTCAGCAACGGACATTGTGCCCTGTCATAGCTGTTCAAATTCAGTTACCTTTCTGTCCTTAACACACTGAGGGAAGTACTTTTCAAAGAAGGCTCCTTTGAATTGAGCCCAAGTCATAACAGTGTTGTCACCACGGATAAGCATCCACCACCTTCTAGCCTTTTCTTGTAAGGTGAAGGTAGCTAACAGTACTTTATGTGCTTCAGAGCACGGAAACACCTCAAATAACTTTTCAGTCTCAAGAACCCATGCTTCAGCTTTTAACGGTTCAAGGCCTCCCTGAAAGGACGGCGGTTTCATTTTACTGAACTTTTGGGTGAGAGCAATTATGTCCCCATCATTAACATTCACATTCTGTTCCGGCTGTACCGGAGGAGGAGGTGGGGGCTATTGATTCTGTTGTTGATCTAGTCTTTCAGTTATTAGTTCCATCATTCTTTCTAGTCTTGTCATTCTTGCCTCAGAAGATGAGGATTCAGATTCATTTGCAGTTCTTGCATTATCCATTTCACTATAGGCAGTTATAACAGTTATCAACATAAGCAGTCATTTGTTTAAACAGATTAACACATTAGTATATATTCAATCATGTCATAACCACACACTTATCATGCTCATGTAATGCCCTAATCGCTTTTCTAGGATATCCTATAACTCATTTAGACACGTGTGTGCGGTATAACTCGTGGTAAGTATCGCTCTGATACCACTCTGTCATGACCCAAACCCGCCCCTATGGGTTTAGCACCGTAACCGGCCAGTAATCTGAGATTACCGAAGGCCTGCTTAACAGTAATACAGTAAAACAGAGTACAGGGGCCTGGCGGAAGCCAATGCAGTAAATAAACAATGTCCAATGAGTTGTGATAGTCTGTATGCCAAAAAGACTTTTCATGCATACGTATATATATACACAGTGCAGAACAGTATGAACAATATTTATAATCATCCAGATCAGGGACCTAATCCCTATTAAACAGTACAGTAATAGTCTATACAGTCTACAAAACAGTTACAGAGATAGACCGGGGAAATTAAAACACCCCTAAGCCATAGCTTGACAGGCTCGGAACCTCGCAGTGAGGCACAATGGTTGGCTTGACAAAACTGGAGCTTACCCCGACGCTTCTAGCCGCGATCTGGTACCTGTACACCTACATATATATATGAGCAGTGAGCTAAAGCCCAGTGAATAACATAAAGCGTAAAGAGGTTTAAAATGAATGTCCTTACAGTAATGAAAACAGTTCATTAAATCAGTATTTCGGTCGTTCAGTCGGTACAGTCATATGTGGTACATCCATTAGCATAACAGTACAGTAAACAGTAGGTCTTGAAAGACCGAACAGTCAATGATGGCCATCAATCAGTAAACAGTAGTTGTTCCAACAAGGAAACCGACAGAGATCTCTGTAACGGTAACAGTCAGTAACAGTAGTTGCTAAGGATGTCACAATACAGTTCAGAATAGAGGACATACATTCATTCTATTAACAGTATCAATTCAGAAACAGTACAGTTCAATTGTTCAGAAGATACTCATTTTTGAACATATCTTTACACAGTTGTTACTCACAGAGTTCTGGGCTACAGTTAGGCTAGAGCGCGTCCCCAGTCGCCAACTCTACACGGTTTACAGATTGAACACACACTAAGCTACACAGTTGGGAAAGATAATAACTTAATCCCTATCTTGACTCGGTGTGGTTCTACATCTATATCCTCATTAAGGCCTTAAACTAGGCCTAAGAATGCCTAGGATGAAATGAGGATACAAAGATGCACTTTAAAAGCATTTTCAGAAAATAGAGGTCCCGCTCGAGCGTAGGTTAATCCGCTCGAGTGGACATGCAGACAAATATTTCCGCTCGAGCGCAGACTTACCCGCTTGAGCGTAATGCAAAATAGTCAAAAGTGCTGGATAGGTGAAATTCACACTCGATTGGGCGCTCGACACCCGCTTGAGCGTAATACACAAGGTCCCGCTCGAGCGTAAATTACCTCGCTCGAGCTAACTCAAAAACAAAACAAAATGCTAGGAGCACGATTTCCACGCTCGAGCGCTAGTCACCCCGCTCGAGCGTGAGTTCAAAATCTGGAATTCCCAGATTCGAACCTCAAGCTCAAAATCAAGTTCAAATGTATCAAATTCGATTCCTTTGGGCCCATTTCTTGGAAAACACTTCAAAACTCATAGTCAAACAGGATTCAAGGCTCAATTCGTAAAATCAAAGCCCAAAGGAAGATCAATTAAACTCATTTTCAAACCAAATTTTAAGAACATAATCCAAGCATGACATGCACGAGTTAAAACCACTTCAAAGCTTCATTGCTAGCTCCAATGAGCCAATTGTTCCAAAAACAAGATGAAAACATGGACTTAACATAACTATGAGCATGCATGTGACAATTTTCCATGGAATCAACTCAAAATTCAATAATATAGGCAGACATGCATGAATTAAGCTATAATTCAACAATTAAGAGCCATAACTTGGCTCTAGACTTCAACTTGCTCTAAAACCACGCAAGAATCAATTGAATTCACAAACAAGAGGGTAGTTACACTACCTTAGGTCCTGTAGTTCAAGAATGGAAACACAATTTTGAAATCAACCTTCAATTTCTTCAAGTTTCTAAACAAATCAACAAGGACAATTCAATTCCTCCCCCTCTCTCTCTCTTGGTCGGCTAAGGCAAGGGAGATGAGCTGATGAAATGTTTGCCTAAGTGTATAATAAGGCTCAAATATAGTTCATGAAGTGGCCCACTCACAATGGCAAAGTTGTAGATAAGCCTAACTCTTTAATTAGCTTTACTTCAACTAATTTAATCATACCAAAACACATTTCAGATAAATACATCATTAAATCACATAAATTCTACTGATCATGAAACACTAATCAATTTCTGGTTCGGCCGCCGATAAGGCCTTCAATTTGCAATTTAAATATAAAACATGAACAGATAATCAAACAGTCAAATAGATAGATAATGCATTTAAACAGATACAGTCAATCAATCAGTTTCAAATTTCAGTTAGTCAGTTCAGTATTTCAATCAGTTCAATTACTTTTCATAATCAGTCTCAGTTTAGCAGTAATCGGTAGTTTATCGGTACACAGTGGTGAGGGTTGTTACAGAAACATAGAACAAAATACTTTTTATGAAAGGTACAAAAAGAAATACTCTTGAAGAAGGTGACCCAAAAAAGAAAGCTAAAAGATTAAGTAGCAAAAAGTATCCAATGTGTTTCACTGAATATATTACCAATGATAAACCATGAGTCACGGTTGATGAGTTTTACTCCTTCAATGGATAAATTCTTTAATTTATCACAAAGTTCAACCCACAAAGTGAACCTTTATTCACATTATTAAGTTATTAACAAAAACAACCATTTGATCCAAATGATACAAAGAACGGAACCCATTAATAGCAAATTACAATAAATCTCTTACGATATGTAATATTAGCCAACTCCCCATCATAGCCAACGCAGAGGGAAAGAAAGAAAAAAGTACATAACAAGGACACTTACATTTCTTCTTGTCAATCTGGAGCATGTCTACAATTCTTTGTAATGACACAATTATTATGTTCGATGACCAAAAGAATACCATTATTATGTTCAAATATCTCCATGCTTTTTGATGCCTTTCTCTAATAAATTTACTTGTCAAAAAACAAAGATGAATCATGGGAAGAGAAAAGCATAATCAAGGGGAGAGAAAGTAAAATAGATAACAGAAAGTAAAAGTTTTCTAGAAAAACATAACCTTTTATTTTAACGAAACAAGATTTTAATTTTAAGTTTTATAGTTATATAAGCATTTTAATTTTTAATTTTGTTTTTGTCAACAGTATAAAATTAAAAAGAATGAAACTAAAGTAGATAATGCAAAAGACACTTTAACTAAACAAATTGTAGTTCTTCAACTGCCATGAAATTTGACTACTCCACTAGCTTCTATATAAATGAAAGGCATCTCTTTGTTGCCAAAGGCATCTAAAAAAATGTGGACTTCAAAAGTTGAAACAGCTTCAGTAGTAGAAAGCAGATTGAATGATGAAAGGGGCAAAAAATCTACAATTGTCTATTCTACCAAATTCTCTCAAACTTTCCTAAATAACTATTCAAATTAGAATTTCTAATAAACTTTATTTATATGGTTAAAGTTTGTATAATACAGTGCTTTAGAACCTTTTAAGCATCTAACACCAACCTAATAAAATATCATTACTAACAGGCACAACAGTGTTCTATGAAACAATTTACATCTTTCATAGAAGTAAAAATTGCTTTAACTAGTATAGAAGATGCTACAATGACATACATGACCTCGTGAGAGCATTTTTTTATTATTCCCTTCCTACTTACTGAAGCAAAAGTAACTAAGTAATAGAAGATGCAACAATGACATACAGATTCTAGAAGTTGATTGATGCTTAAAAGATCATATTTTTGATGGCCTGCTCTGAATTATGTTTGGCTTGAGTTCCAAATGACTCTAGAGGAACTTCATCATCTATTGTAAAAATTGGACTAGCCTGCACATTAAAAATGAGAATAAGCAAATCTCAACAGTCAATTTCAAATAGTAAAAGATCGAAGGTGATTACCTCATCCGTAGAATTTAGCCCGTTTGCAGAGACCGGTGTCACAAACCAAAATCTCCTGTTGATCGGAGCTCGTCTCACACACCTTTCTCACAGGAACCTGCTGATCACTCTCTGATGAATTTCAGTGCCACAGATTGTTCAGAATTCAGTAAACTACAACTATTCAATATTCTGTTTGGTTAAATATTTTGTCCCAAGTCTACTAATATCTCATCTGATAATTAAAAAAAAAATATGAATTTAAAATTAAAGAGAGCATACAATTAGGAGAAATTCTTTGCAATTATAAATGGCTCTATGTAGTTAACTAATGACAGTGGTGTATGGCTATGCATCTAAAGTTTTAGCAGATGGGACCAATTTACTAGGTAAGCCCAAAAAGATCTAATTTAAAACCTCCATATTCTTTCCTTTAATATAAATAAATAAACAATCACAAAACAAAAATGAAGAACATGTTTAAAGATATGAAATGAAATACCTTCAACCAGAGAAATGCAGAGCAGACTTCTCTTGTTTATGCAATGGAGTGATCTACACAAGAGAAGAGGATGTGAAATGAAGAACATGTTTAAAGATATATATATCCGAAAAGCAGAATCCCATGTCTAAGAAGCCAAAAAAAACAAACCTTAAGCTAGAGAAATGTAGAGTAGGCAACAAATCTTCTTATCTCATACAATAAACTAGTTTACATGTCAAGAGATAATTTTTTTGATCTTTAAGGACAGTCCTGATTATATCTTGATCTTTCAAGAAATCCACACTATGGCATGCTTGTCCTATAACTTCAACCCATTTCTGCACAGAAAAACGAAACCATAAGCCACTAGCCACCACAAAGTCCCTCCCATTATCAAGATTTTCTTGACACTTGATGTTGAAACGTGTAACACTCCTTTTGGTTGCCATACCTTTATTCTATACTGCATGAGATATGGATATTAATAAATTAAGAAATACATAAATTGCTTGAAATATTGAGTAGGACATGTGTAGTGTGTGTGATTCTCAACTCCTATAACAAAAATCAGCCAGATCTTGCTTTCGGAAGCCAAAAATTTTTCTTTCAAAACACGCCAACAAATGATGCCTAAATAAACCAACTAATTTGTTTGCTAATGAAACTGATGAGAGGCATTAACTTCATTAAGTTTTGAATAAATGCACACATCACATAGATCAAACTCATTGTGCTCTTGATAGTAAAAATTATGTATCACTGTCAGCCAGCAATCTTAGATCACACACAATAGTTCTACCAAATTAGATTGGAAGGAGAGAGAGGGGTACCTGGATAGAGGTGTTCAATCTGATGCCATTGAAATCAGAGAGAGAAGGAATGAGAGAGAGAGAGAGAGAGAGAGAGAGAAGGTTGTTATTTTTCTTAGGTTCAATGCAACAAAAATGCTTGTTTTGATCAGAGGGAAGAGAGTAGTTTTTGTGGGTGATTCAATGAACGGAACTCAATGGGAATCGATGCTATGTTTGTTAATGGGTCATGACCAACATCCTCATAGATAGAGTATGGAAAAGAAGCTTGGGGTTGGGTCAATTTGGGGCTAGGTCGATTATTAACTCCAATTAATTCAGCACGGTCTGTTCATCATCACCAAACGACAGTGCTTCGAAAATTAGTGGTTTGATTGTTGGGTGTAGTGTGGTTTTGCAGTGAATTAGATGGATAATACACAAGATCTCTGTGATGAAGAGGTGGATGGAGATTGAAGAAACAATACTTGTTCCACTTCTTCAACATATGGTGCCTCATAGTTCTGAATGGAAGAAAACAGAGAGACGAAGACACAGAGACAAATAGAGAGAGGGCGAAATAGATGAGATACCTGGAAGTGACTGTGGTGCTCGTGTAACCCTTGCGGTGGTGCTCGTGTAACAGACGGAGACAAATCGACAGAGAGGAGGGCAAATATGAGAGTGAGAGAGAGAGAGAGTCACAGAGGCGTGAAGCGAGAGTAAGAGAGACAGTGGCACAGGTGTGAATGAGAGAGAGACAAATCAACCTTGGACCTAATTTCTTAGGTTTAGTTTTTTCCCGACTAGTGTCTATTGGTCGCCAAAAAGAAATAAAATAGTTTTTCCCGACGAACTGAATAATCTAGTCGCTAATTGTTTTAGGAATCCCTCCAAAATTGGAAATCTTCCCTCCAAAACTTAATTACAATTGCCAACCAAATAGTTTAGTCGGTAGAAGTAAGATAAATAGCAACTAAATTATTCTTAGTAGGTAAACATTGTACATTTAGGGACCAATTTTTTTTTTTTTTTAGCATAAAATCCTATTTTCAACGACTACACTTAAATTAGTCGCCAAAAGTAACATCTTTAGCTACTAAATTATTCTTTGTAGCTAAAGACTGTACATTTAGGGATCAAGAGTTTTTTTTGTAGCCCAAAATCCTATTTTCAACGACTACACTTAAATTAGTCGCCAAAAGTAACATCTTTAGCTACTAAATTATTCTTTGTAGCTAAAGACTGTACATTTAGGGATCAAGAGTTTTTTTTGTAGCCCAAAATCCTATTTTCAACGACTAAACTTAAATTAGTCGCCAAAAGTAACATCAATACCGACTAAATTATTCTTAGTAGCTGAAAATAGAACCTTTCCCGACCAAATTTCTTTTAGTAGCTAAAGTGCCTATCTTTGGCGACTAAATTTGTTTTAGTCAGCATTTTTAGTCGCTGAATGTGTAAATTCCTGTAGTGCATATAGTGCATTCTGTAACTTTTCTGAAAAGAAAAAAAGAAAACATTTTTAGATTAAATAATGATAGAGAGTTCTAATATTTAAGCTCCACACATATGGCAAGAGGAAAGAAAAAAAAGAAAAAAAAACACAAGTATACACATCACATCACAAGTAGGCCCCACTCGTTTGGTACTCTTTTATAATTCTTTTAAGACTCGTTTGTTTTCAAATGTAGAATGGATGGAATTGATACTGAGAGAATTAATAGTGAGGAGATTGTTAGTGAAGAGATTGATAGTGAGGGAATTAAATAAAATTGTATTTGTTTTGATAATAATTGTTAGCGTGAGAATTGTTAAATTATTACCTATAAAAAAATATAAAATATTAAAACAAATAAAACTATAATTTTTACTTAACAAAAAATACAAAAGCATTATGTTTGGCAACATCACTTTTTAACCTAAAAGCTAAAAAGTCACTAAAAAAATTAAAAAGTCAACAACCTATACTAAAAAAGTCAAAGATTCTGAATTTGTTTGGTTTAACTCTCAAAACACAATTTTTTTAAAAAAATTCCAAAATTATGTTTGGTTGGAAATTTTTTTTAAAAAAATTCTAAAATTACTTTTTCTCTCCTACACATTAATCAATCACTTTTTCTCTCTTCTCTCTCCTCTCTCCTTATCAATCATTTTTTTTTCACACACATCTACTCAACTACAACAAAATATCAAATCACTCTAAACTCCCATACTCCAAAACTATTTTCAAAATATATAACAAAACAAACCAAAAAAAAATTCTAAACTCTTTCCTCAAAATTTTTAAAAATTTTTTATCTCAACATAATCTCCCATAACCAAACCAAACCAAGCACACATTTTCTCTTTACTTTTTACATATCTTTTCGTAAAAAATCAAAAAGTCAACCCAAATATACTAATTTTTTTACATCATATTTTTGTCAAAAAATTAAAAAAATACTTAAAAAACCTGTTCCCAAACGAGGTCTAAACATTAATGTTAAAAAAAATACCCAATATGTAAAAGTAAAAAAATAAAATTAAAAAAAATACTAAACCGAAGGATTAACTTCTAATACCAACTCTCTCACTTTCATCTCAATCCCCTCTCCATGATGCATCATAATCTGAAGACTTATCTCAATCTCTCAAAACAAACACAATATTAATCTCTCCTCCATCATCCAAAATAAGCGGGGCGTTAGATTATAACGTTACTGTGATCATGTTGGGATCACACCAATTTTTTTTTTATCGGAAGAAATATGTCAATTAAGAAAGCCAAACGGCGCTTACAGGAGTCCAAACAAACCAAAACTTACACCATACAAAGTGAAAATAAATCAAGAAGCACTTAGGAAGAAGAAATATGAAACTATTCAGACGTACATATTGTACTCGTGCTCGTACTGCGAAGCAGAGCCGATCATAAAAGTTTGGCAATAGAGCATGTCCGAAATATTTCATAGATCCCAACCACAAAGAAGGTAAGCTTAACAAATTGCACAGATAGACTCCAACAGAACCACAAAAACCCAAAAACCAACACAAACCAAATGAAAGAAAATAAAGGAAAACAAACAAAACAAACAGACCCACACCCAATCAAAACTAGCAGCGGCTTCGGCGGATCCGGCGGTGGAGACGACCGGCGATGCAGAGGCGGCAGAGAAGGGCGGTGAAGACGGCTGGAGAGGTGGAAAAAGGGCGATGAAGGCTGCGGGGGAAGGCGGATCCGGCATGAATGGAGAAGATGAAGAGGAAGAGGAAGTGGAGCTATGGAGAAGACGACGGGGAAGAGGCGGTGAAGGAAGTGGAGAAGGCGCGGATCTAAGGGGCCACTCCCGGAGTGAATGGACGTGGGAGAAACACCTCACAAAGGAGGGGGAGGATGGAAAGCCCAAGCTTCCAAGTTATGAGAAAGTAAAATAAGGAAAGGAAAAAGCAGAAGAGGGGTAGGGGGATGGGGTGAGGAGGTCAGAGGCCGTCAAAAAATCCCTCCCTTACCGCCGATAGCCTCATAATTAAAAATCCTAAAAGAAAAAAAATTTAAAGAGAGAAACTCCCAAACTAGAGGGAGGGTGTTGGGATCACTTCCAATCCTGTAAATGTGTTTGTATGTGTCAGTTTTTTGGACTAGTGCAAAAGTCTTTTCACCCAAAAATACAATTAGATGATTGTGTGGACTATCATTTCATGTATTGGGCAGGGGTTAAAAGTTCGATTTTAACTTTTAGCTTTTTCAGGTTACATAATTTTTTTATTTTTTAATATATATTTTTTAAAAAATCAAACAAAAAATTAAAAAATTAACTTTTCAAAACAATCCTTAAAGTTGTGAAATGTGCACATGTTAGTGGTTGGTTTGAGATATACTATATAAATATATATTTTTTTTAAGTTATATTATTTCTCTATTTTTCATATATTTTTTTTATAAAAAATTAAAAAGTATATTTATTTAGATAATTTCAAATCTTAAAAATATCTCTATTGGCTTTTTATTTAATTATTTAGTGGGAAAATTGTGTTTAGTTTGCCTTTAGAATCATGATTTTAAAGGGAAAATTTTCAAATCACTTTTTAAAATTTATAACTAAATATATAATTCAAAATTACTTAAAACTCAATTCAAAAATTAATTTCAAAACATATAGCCAAACACATAACTCAAAACTCAATTCAAAACTCAAAACCAAACTCTTTTCAAAATTCTATTTCAAAAGAAAAAAATTAAAAAAACAAAATTATTTTGTTTTTTAAAATTATTTTTGGAATCATAATTTAAGTGTGGAGTAGTGCTTTGAGTTATGAGTTTTGAATTGAGTTTTGAAAAAAGAAAATTTATTTGGTTATAAGTTTTAAAAAGAGTTTTGAGTTGTATTTTGAGTTTTGAGTTATATTTTAAAAAAATTTAATTTTTTGGATTTAATTTTTTAAAATATTTAAAAATTTTCTTAATTTTATTTTTTTAGGATAAATATTTTAAATATTTATTTATTTATTTTAATGTGCACTATATCTTCATAATTTATTGTGTCCTCATGTATTTCTTGCTATTAATTTTTCAATTTTAAATATATAATTTTTATTTTAAATATTTTTATTTTTTATTTTATTTATAAATATATTTTTAAATATTTTAATTTTTTTTTGTATAATCTTGGTTATTATTTGAGTGTAGAGTTTTAAAAGTAGTGTGGAGTTTTGAGTTATATGTTTGCTTATGAGTTTTGAAAATAATTTTGAATTGAGTTTTTAGTTATGTGTTTGGTTACGATTTGAGTGTGAAATTATGTTTTGAATTTAAAATATTAAATTAAAAATTAAAATATTTACAAATAAAAATATATATGTTTAAAATAAAAAAAATAAAATTGTCTTAAACATTTTTTAATATATTAAAAAATAAAATCCAAAAAATCAAAATAAAATTTAAAATTCAAAACTTAAAACTCAAATACAATTCAAAACTCTTTTCGAAACTTACATTTTTTTTCAAAATCCAAATTCAATTTTTTTTTTCAAAACTCATAACCAAAACAAATTTTTCTTTCAAAACTCACACACATTCCACACTCAAATTACAACTCCAAAAAAAGAATCACAATTCTAAAAACTAAACCAAATACAACCTAAAAGTTGAGAAAATATCATTTGTGACTCACAATATCATTTGTAATTTGATATGAGTTACATCTACAATAAATTTGAACCACATTTGTTTTTTTGAATATTCTCAAACTTCGCTAAAACTTCCCTTTATTTTGAGCTAAAAAATATCATTTGTGACTCACAATATTTGATCCTTCTCAAATATAATTATCATCTTGCAGTTCAAAATTTTTCAAAATTATAGACTGTATACATTTTATTGAGATTTTATTATACTAAGTTTTGAAAAATTAAAACCTTCAACAATAAAAAAAAGAAATTGAGATATTCTTGAAATTGCGATTTTTGGCATCAATGAAGAGCATGGAATATCCAAAATTAAAATTAAACATTTGAGCTGGACACTAGTTGATCGAAAATCCTGGTTGATTCATGAATTATGTTAGTTATGAGAATATTTGAAATGATTTTAAATAATATATTTTTTTAATTTTTTATTAAAAAAAGTTTTAAAAAATTAAAAAGTAATGTTCCTAAATAAGAAGTTGTTTGGAATGTCCTAAATAAATGTACTTTTTAACTTTTTATCTAAATAATAAGGAGGTCCCACTAAAATATCATATTTTCAAATAATTTGTCATTGCACAAATTTGTGTTTTGAATATTTTTTATTTTTTTTATTTTGGGAGAAAAATGGCTTGTCAAGAGCTCAATTATGTTCAATTCAATTATATACTTACTTATATTCGATTTTTGTCATTTATGTGTACGAGTACAGAATAATCGTCTCGTATAATTCTATTGATTAAGTTTATATTCTTCCAAACATCGTCACTTTGCTATTTGAAAACACAAACGTAAGCTAACCGACAAGTGATGTACCAGAAATCCCT